CACTTATTTAATATTACATTATTATTATTATTATATATTTGTAATCATATATATCATTATAGTTATATCTTTTTTTAATGGTAAAAGTGCATCTTAAACTTCATTTGTTAGTATTTTACTGTACTTATAGCTATAGATTTTTTTTTTGTTATTTTAAGAATATATAAAATATTAATTAAAATTAATAAAAATAATAAATTTATATTTCTAGAAAAAATGTTTATACAAAGTAGTTTCAAAGGAGACCTTACTCTTGGCCTTTTGTTAGAATTCGACTCACAGTGAATAGCAGAGTTAGCGAGCCCCTCGTTAGGATTCTACTCACATTTTTCTAGAAGTTTCATCAATTAAAAATGTAATTAGATCATCAACCTTTTAATTATAGTATTTAACACCTTTAATTTTTATTTTACTATTTTTATCCTTCGATTCTTTGTTTTATATAGTTAGTCCTTTTTAGTTTTTTTTTATCAATATTCTTTTTTTTTCAGCAATTATTACTTGGTTTTGGAAAAAAAATTATTGCTTGGATTATATGTTGAATTATTAATTTAAATTTATTTAATCTTAATTTGTTTAAATTTAAATATCTTTTTATTTGTACTTAAAAATTTTAATTTAAAATTGACTAATTTTTATTTTAATCATTTACATAATTCATATTTATTCAAATTAGTCATAGAAATATAAGAAATTAAAATTTTTATAATAGTTTATTTGGTGTCCCTCACTTTTGATAAATGGGGACTTCCTTTCAGTACCCCAATTTTTAAATCCTGACTTGCCGTCTGAAGTGTAATTATACCCTATCCTCCAAATTTTGCTCCATTTGCAAAGAAAAATAGGTCGCTCAACTAAAAGTTCAATATTGGCTAAAGAAAATAAAAATAAAAATTCAAAAGCCCTCATTGCCCATGCGTTTTATTTTTATTTTTTTATTTTTTGGTTTTGGTGTAATTTGATTTTCTATACTCAAAGTTTAGTCTGAACCAGGCCTCTAGGGTACTCCTTCACCCACTCAGGGATGGAACTTGAGCAAGACACTAGGGTATTAAAAAAATTTTAAAAGATGATGTTGAAATTTAAATATTTTAATAAAAAAAAAGATTATATTTTATAAATTAAATTTATTATCTCATTAAAAACTTAGTTAAATTAGTTATTATATGTTAATTATCCTATTTAAGAGTATATTATTTCTAATAGTTATCTAATTTATTCTTATAACTAACCTATAAATGCAAGTTGTAAGACCAACAATCCTATAAATAGGATATATTACTTTTCTCAAGATGGTCCTTGACATTCTTCTAGGGTCTTATTATACTTTGTCTTCTAAATATTCTTAGGTAAAAAAGGTGGTTTTAAATTAGATGACTTTATGAGTAGTGCAAATTTATAAAATATTATTTCAAAGTTATAGTATTATAGGGATGACATGTTATGCAATTATCTGCTACACTAGTCAATCTACTTTCTGCAAAGGCGTGAATTGCTTTGAAATAAATAAGTTTTTTATGTCTATTTTGGTTATATTTTCTTATTGATATTTTCTCAATAAGTTCATTAATTATTATTTTTGTTGATTTTATAACCAAGGCACAATAATGACATGATGCAGAGATGGACAAGAATGTTTGAGAAACAATAACTTTAAAGCGATTCAATTTTGTGCCTTTTTATGGAAAGTAAATATATTTTGTTTTTCTAACTCTTTTGGAACTAAGAGCATGTTTCCTTGAGATTAATCATGCTTAAGAGATATTGAGATCACAAATGGGTTTATGAAAAATTTTGGGAACCCAAGAGAAAAAGCTAAAAAAGAAAGCTACCTAGTTTGGTCCATGTGATTATTTTGGAAAAAAAATGGACATAAAATTTGGATTAGTATATTTCGAAAATGTAGGCTAGCTATTAAAGCTTACATGATAGATAAACCATTTATGGTGATACTATTTGAGATGAGCTAACAGG